TTGATAAAGGTGGCTTTGAGCAAGAAGTATATGCCAGTCGGCTCTTCTGTTCTATCGGAATCAAATAGAGCAGAAGGCTCTCTTACTTTCTACTTAAAAAGTCACAAAGTTCATTATTCGACAGTAATTGGTAACCCATTGCTCCAAAAAAGTAGTCACAGTTATAGTCGAATGTTTCCTTTCCTTGCAATTTCTCAAAAGTATCTAAAATAGTTTCTTCCGGTTACCTTTCTTCAAAAAATCTGAATGCTAGAAGAAGCTGGCTATGGTATGAAATACAGAAACAGAGCAGGGGGCAGTAGCATGAGACATAGCATAAGCAAGCATTTGAACCATAGGATGGAACATAGTTGTAAAAAAAAACCTAAAAGGAGGGACATTATCCCTTGTCAAATGTCATTTGGAATGCTATAAATGTTATGTTATAGCCTAGTTTAAAAGCTTTAAACCCTTACTTGCCTCATTCTTCTGAACAAGAATTAGAAGTTACATATCTCCAAAATGATGACATATTTAGTGTATGCAAAAGGATTTTGTAGCACCTTGGAGACTGAGAGAGCAAAATTGGTGGCATAAACTTTTATAGACTACTTCCTCAGATACAAAGTATTTACTATGAGTCTTGAGAGTTTTTAGATTTTTGGAAATTGCAAAAGTGGGGAAAAATCCACAGTTGAAATATGAAAGATGCCACCTTGTCAGATTTTTTTTAAAGCATTAGGTGAGTTGTTTGCCTCATTTTGATCTATCACCCAATCCTTCTGTGCTTTCAGTATCCATGTATACTCCTTTTCCCCCAAACAGGAAAACACCATTTTATTTGAAGACATTTTGCAGAAATTGCCAAAAGTGCCACAAAAAAAGAAGAAAACATTAATTGTCTTATTTTTGTGCAGAAGGCATGAAGAGATTGAATGAACACTTCACAACCTTGTCAGTGTCTCAGAACAGCCTGCCTCATTAAAGGACAAATGATTTAATAAGATTTCTTTACACTCCTATCAGTTATTGAGGAAAACATATGATTATAACTATACTTTCAAGCTCTGGTGATCCTGAATGTTAAGATTATAAAACATCTGTGTGTGTGGGGGGGGGGGCACAACGATTCAAAGCTAACATATTTCCCAAAGTATTTTCGCCCTCCTGTGAAGCTACAACAAGCAAATGTTAATTTGTGGCTTGGTCTGGGTTTTTTTCTGTATGGTTATTCCTGTTTAATTGATGGTATAGGGCATGTAAACACTTTAAGTATGTTTAATCTCCAGCAGTGTCATATTGTTCTCCTAGCAATGTGTGGTATAGGGCATTTCATACAAACTACATGTTTTACACTCCAGATTTAAGAACTGAGTACAGTTAGTCTAAATAAGGGGTGTCAAATTCATTTTCATGGTGGGCCACATTAGCCTTATGGTTGCCTTCAAAGGGCCATTTAACCCATGAATGGGGAATCTATGGATACATAGGGACAACTATAATTCGTTTACATAGTGGTTGGTGCTCTTTAATTTTTACCCAGTTTGGGTTCCCAGATGTTAGTGCAGACAAGTCCCATGACTTTTAATTATCTGCAGATTAGGAATAATGGGAATTGCAACCCAACACACTTGTGGCTCTGAGGTTGGGGAAATAATAAAAAACATTGTAACATCAGACATCATATCCACAAGGCTTGTATCTAAATTCAAACCCCACTATCTTGACTAAACAGAACAAACATCAGCCTTCCAGATGTTACTGTATCAGCTCTAGACATGATGTCTAAGGATGGGGAATACAGGAGATGTAGACCAGCATCTGGAGAGCCACATAAAATGGCATGTTTGCAAGGCTTTGGCCTAAAGGCCTTGAGTTTGACACATGTGGTCTAAATGTATGGTTTTCATACCAGAAAGATCTATGACCTAAGCAGATTGATACAGGATTTATTTTTGTACTATTAGCCCTAACTTCATGGTGATGAAGGAGAATAACTCCAGTTTGGAGTGGATGATGATGATGATGATAATGATGATGATGATAAATTTATTCCCCACTTCAAGCTAAGTGTGATACATCGTTGAAACAAGAGATAAAGCACTATTAAAATACATACAATCTTGTATTTTAAGAGAGGGGGGGGGAGGGAGATTACCCTTATTTCTTGCCACTGTGCTTTCCAGAGGCATCTTGCTGACCACATGGTGAAAATTAGGCTGGGCAGGATAGACCTTTGGTCTAATCCAGGGTATCCACACATAAAACACACTAATATTAATGATAGTTGATAAGTTTTTTAAAAAGTCCTTGTATAACTTTCGTGATAAGCAAAAACCAAATCCTCACATAATTATGCACCACCCCATTCGAAGGATCTTTTAAAGTAATTGAACAGGTCTTCTGTCCAAACAGTTTGCAATTATAATGCAAATTATGGATAAAACTAAAGTATTTGTGAATATAATATACACGCATTATTCCATTCCATCTGTTGTCATCTACAAAGTTTGCGCTTGAGATCAGTGCAATCGAGTAACAAACTCAGCCAAAAAATCTTGCCATGTTTTAAATTAAGGTTATTATTTTGTGTTGAGCTGCATTCATAGCTGTCCTGTGCTACATGTGACCCACAGGTTGGTCAAGCATGGTCTAATCCATTGCAATCCCTATTACGTTTCTTCTTAAGAGCTTTCTGGATATACGGTTTGCTTCTCTTTCAAAACATCCAAAATCAGCAGCCTAAAACAACTACCAGAATATACCAGAAATGGAATATTCCAGGCTAAGCTTCATTTTTTCCTTGTCCCGGGATTGGTTAAGAAGTGAATTGCCCCTTCGATGTTGTTTCCAGCCTGTAGAGCACTGGTGTCAAACGTGTGGCCCTCCAGATGTTTCAGATACCAACTCCCAGAAGCCCTTGCCAGGTTGCACCATGGCCAGGGCTTTTGGGAACTGCCACCCAAAACACCTGGAGGGCCACAAGTTTTACACCACTGCTGTTTAGCTTGTTTCAGCACACAGCGTTCTAAATAATATGCAGGGCGGGAGTAACTAATTTGAGCTTGGTAGAAGTCAGGAAAGGGCAACTATTGAAATGTAAATCTTTTCATTGTAACCCAACTGGTTTCCAGGCTGTTTGCTGATCTGGCTGTCAAGAAAACCTATTTGATTAAAGAAAGAATGTGCCACGGGTGTGAATTCAATACTGGAATTTGCATAGAGATACACACATTTTCACCCAAATGAGCCAAGATATGCCAGGGCATTTTTCCATCCTGACGTATACACTATTTGCCTCAAGGTCAATAGCAATAATAGAATACAGAGTGTCTGACATCTTGTTCAGCACATTATGAAACCCTTCCACTTTCATGTATACAAAGCTATCAGAGCAGAGAAATGCATATATAATATGCTTCTGTTTTAGAAACAATTCTATCCAAGTATAAATATAGCGAAGTTACAACTTAATATGGCTTGGGTGAACATATCTTCTGAGAGGTTTATGAAACTAATTAAAGAACAGTTAATTTGGGAAGAAAAAAATCCTCCCTCGTTCCTGTAGCTCCTTTTTTTCTGCACACAGTTGGTAAATCATCTGTTTCAACATCCTTCAAAAGGGCTTCTATATCCTCTTTTCAATAAGCATAGATTGGTCTGTTCTGTGATAAATGCCTTTCAAAAGACTTCTGTAAATGTCTGTGATCTTTGTGGAATATCTAATCTCTGCAATGGTTCTGTGTTCCCTTTCATTCTTAATATGCATGAATCTTTGCACATCTACACATACCCTCCCTCTGTTAGAAATTGTGAAAAAATTATGTTGCTTTGATACTTGATAAAAATCTAAATTTTCATTTTGCAAAAAATACAATATAATTATGTGCTAGCATGATTTTAATTTTGAAATTTATTTATTTATCGTATCAGAAGCGAACCAAGGGTACAGTTGTAAGGGTACAGTTGCAAGGTATTTAAAAAAAACACAAAGTTTTAAAACTTGGCATTGTATTAAATGTCCTTTGACCAGTAGTTGGCCACTTGGAGTGCCTCTGGTATTGCTATAAGGAGGTCCTCCATTGTGCATGTGGCAGGGCTCAGGTTGCATTGCAGTAGGCGGTCTGTGGTTTGCTCTTCTCCACACTCACTTGTCATGGACTCCAATTTGTGGTCCCATTTCTTAAGGTTGGCTCTGCATCTCGTGGTCCCAGAGCACAGTCTGCCCAGGGGGGAGTCTCTCATTTGGTATCAGCCATGGCTTGAGGTTCTGGGTTTTAGCCTGCCACTTTTGGATTCTTGCTTGCTGAGGTGTTTCTGCAAGTATCTCTGTAGATGTTAGAAAACTATTTCTTGATTTGAGGCGTTGGCATGCTGGCTGATATCCAAACAGGAGATGGGCTGGAAATGTCACTGTCTTGCTACCTCCCGGCAGATGTCAGATGGTGCAATACCAGCTAAACAGTATAATTTCTCCAGTGGTGTAGGATATAGACATCCTGTGATAAGGCAGCATGTCTTATTAAAAGCCACATCTACTGTTTTAGCGTGGTGAGATGTGTTCCACACTGAGTGTGCATACTCAGCAGCAGAGTAGCAAAGCACACAGGCAGATGTCTTCACTCTATCTGGTTGTGATCCCTAGGTTGTGCCAGTCAGCTTTCATATGATATCGTTTCACCAGATGCAACCAGAAACAACTTTTTAAATTATCAGACACTTATGAAAATGTATAACTTCTCTCCTATATGCTGCTCTATAGTAACAATCAGAAACTTCATAATGACAGGAAATTTTCTGTGTAAGAAATATAGACTCAAGATATGTGAATTCTCCCTGTGTTTCCTATGCTGTTTTAGTGCATCAGTGCAGGTAAAGAAGCAAGAAATATTTGTCAATTCTTCCATTTGATTACACTGTGACTTTCTCCCCATGAATTGGATTCAAGACAATGTCTAATAAAAGATACTTATAAAATAAAATGACAACAGATTGTAAATTTGAAATTCTGTTTCTTACAGATCAAATCTTGAGCAAGGACATCTATTAATCACAATCCAGATTTCAAGATGGCAGCAGCTGTGTCATGGACAATTTAATGTGAAAACAAGTCAAGTAAGAAATTATTCTTGTTTTCTTTGCACCAACAGTAATGGAAATTCACATATTCTTAATTTTGTTTCTTACTGATTTCAAAGTTTTTTTAGGAGAGCAAGTTGCATGGTATGGTGTCCAGTTAATATTCTGGGAAGGCATAATTCAGCAGAAGGGGTTGGAAGTGATTTACCTGTAATTTGATTTCTCTTCACTCAAGCTGCAGCTCTCATTTCTTCCAAATTTTGTAAAAGCTGTTGGATGAAACATATCCAACCATTATATCTATTACCAACCTTCATATGAAAGCTGTTGGATGAAATATCCAGCCATCATAATCAGCCATTTAGAAGACAGATTGCTAGATTTGGTGTTCAAGGCAGTGTAGGAAAGGTAGCTAATCAGATGATCCCTGCCAATTTTGAGATGGGAAGATTTTTAAAATTAGGTTGTTTAGAAAAGTTTTAGTTTTTATGAGTGACTTCTGATGAGTCTTCTTTTATTCCATTCCTGAATGCAAGAATATATGGTTTAAAAACAGCTTCTTATTGGATAAGATTAGAGAGTTTGTGTGTGTTTGTGATGGTTTCTTACATTTTAGGGCTTTTTGCAAGGCTGATCTCTTACTGGTTCACATAGCATAACTGCTCTGTAACTCTGTAGCTTGCTTGTCCCTTGCAGCTGCTAAACTCAATGGGGTCATTGCTACACGGGAGGGGAAGGCAGGAAAGCAACTGAGCATACCCACTGAAGTTCATGGTAGAAAAACTACACTGGGGGTGAAAAATAGCTCCCTCTGCCATGCTGCCTCATCATCACCACTATAAGAAAAGCTCTATGGAAAGTAGCAACTGCCAAGGAGGTTAGATAGAGCAGGAGATTATAGAGAATAGCCCTTTGTGCACTGTTCAGAAAAGGGCACATATACTCAACATGCTTGAACTAAAAGGATTCAGGCCAAAGACTTTTGCAGAAACAGCCCCCCTCCCACAATAAGCCTCCATTTTTTTCAGAATGGTTTTTCGATGTGTCTAGAATCACAGAATAATACAGTTGGAAGACTCTGCATGGGCCATCCAGTCCAACCACCCAGCCAAGAAGCAGGAAAATTGTGTTCAAAGCACCCCCGACAGATGGCCATCCAGCCTCTGTTTAAAAGCCTCTATAGAAGGAGCCTCCACCACACTTCGGGGTACAGAGTTCCACTTCTGAATAGCTCTCACAGTCAGGTGGAATCTCCTTTCCTGCAATTTGAACCCATTGCACCGAGTCCTAGTTTCCAGGGCAGCAGAAAACAAGCCTGCAACTTCTTATGACATCCTTTCAGATATTCATACATGACTGTCATGTCTCTTCTCAGCCTTCTCTTCTGCAAAGCTAAACGTATCCAGTTCTTTAAGATGTTCCTCATAAGGATTCATGGTCTCCAGAGCTTTGATTGTTTTAGTTGCCCACCTCTGGACACCTTCCAGTTTGTCAATATCTCTTTTGAACTATGATGTCCAGAATTGGACACAATATTCCAGGTGAGGTTTAACCAAAGCAGGCTAGGGAGGCACCATGACTTCCCCAGATCTAGACACTATACTTCTTTTGGTGCAGCCCAACATCCCATTGACTTTTTCAGCTGCTGCATCACACTGTTGGCTCGTGTTCAACTTGTTTTCACTAAGACTCCAAGATCTTTTTCACATGGACTGTTGTTGAGCCAGGCATCACCCATCCTATATGTTTTCATTTCACTTTTTTTGCCTAAGTGTACTGTCTTACACTTCTCCTTAGTGAAATTCACTAAGGAGAAGTGAATTAGTTTTGGCCCATCTCTCTAAACTGTTACAGTCATTTTGAACTCTGATCCTGTCCTCTGGAATATTAGCTAATTTGGTGTCATCTGCAAACTTGATCAAACCCTCTAAACCTTCATCCCAGTCATTAACAAAGATGTTGAACAGCACTGGGCCCAGGACCGAACCCTGTGGCACCCCATTAGTCTAAGAAAATGTGTTAAGCTGAAAGATACTGTGCCATTTTTGTATTGTGTAACTAAACATTTGTTAAGAGCTTGAACTTCTTTGCTCCAATTTTGTAGCATGGTGATCAAATGCTTGTCTGTCAATTGAATCCCATCTTCATGTGTATCTTCAAACACTATATGAATGTCAGTTTGGAACTTGTGTCCATATGATGATGATTAAAGTTCTAAAATGTTTGAATGCACAGCTTTTGAATGCATATGCCTCAGTAACAGGATAATTACAATGTATGGAGAGGTAAGCAGACAGTATTTATGTAAATCCCAAACAACATGAACTTCAATTTGATTTTTAAAAAAAGACATTTCAATCATTGGCAAGCATACTCTACAGTGAACTTTACACATGAATAACGAATAACTTTATAAATAATCTATTTCTCGCATTCACTATCCTTTTATTATAACAAGCTCTGCTTAAAGAAACAATAATTTCCTCCATATTTATTGTTTATCTGGCAAGTAAATTTGGCTCAATTTCACTATGCCATTTGTGATGATTTTTTCTAAGCGAAGATGTCCATCTGTTTTCCACTCGCTATTAGGGAAATGGCATGTGTACCTCATGTTTCTGGCATGTTCAGAACAGCAATATGAAATGTGCTATTAATCATGGAAAATATCAGCAAGCGTTTGCCATATATCCTTTTATACATTTGCCAGCATTAGTGGCACAAATGCCTGTTATTAGTATCACCTAGCTGTGAACAAGACAGTTTGAATACATATCCTGAATAAATTACATTGTTATTTCCATTTGAATCCTTCTTTTATATTATCCAAACATATCAAAATGTATTATTAAGATAATAATAAAAGATGACAGTTAAAATATATATTTAAAATATGTGTCACAAATTAGTGAGACAGCATATTTGATTGATACACTTGACTGATGATTTTATGCTCTTGGGACATGTTTTCCTTTCAAAAATAGATGTGTAAACATTAAAACAATTTTGATGAATTTGAATAATGCAAATAGGACAATTCCTGTAAAAATCTATTTTAAAACAAGTTTAGATAAAAAAAGCTTTTGAATAATATAGTTTTGGATGCCTGCTGGAGTTTTAGCAGGGATGGTGCCATGATGCCTGACCCACCTTGGAAAGGAGTCCCACAACAAAGATGCTGGCAAAGAGAACGAACCTCGCCTCTTGTGCTCAGAAACCTAACTTCCTGGGATGGTGGAACACACAACAAGGCCTCCCTTAGTGTTCTCAAATTTTGAATAGATGTTTGTTGATAAAGTTTTTCAGATATCATGGCATCAAGGTAGTTAGGGCTATGTGCCTCACCAATCTACAACTCTTAGGATTTCATAATGGTAGGTGGTTCAATGGTATCAAACTGCATTAATTCTATAATGCTGATATACCTAATTCTGATAGCATTGTGGCTAAATCCAAGATCTAGATCCCAGGTCCTAAAGGACTAGATCCTTCAGAAAAAATGTAAAACCTTAGTTTGCAAATTGTAATCCCAATCCCAGATTAGATTTTCTGCTGACCTACAGAATGTTTTTGTTGTCTAGACTGAGCCTGATTTTTTTTCATTTACAACTAGGGAAGACTAGAAGGTACAATCAGCTCCCGATTCTTCTCTTTACTTAACTTAATGATGCTTCTCAATACTGCCATCTGATAAAGTCCTGAATGATTTAGCACTGTTTTACATCAGTGCTAAAAGGCATAGTGAATACTACTGGATCTTGAGACACTCAGTGAGCTAACAAATGCAAGGCTGTGGTTTTGCCCTAGCACCACCTTCTGATAATATACGAACTAAAAAGAGAACCACACCCAGTTCTGTATCAACCATACAGTCCAGAAAGATTAAACGTATCAAGTGATGCTGGTGGTATTTCCCAACTGCCCTCATAGGTTCATCCACCAAGATGGCTAAGGTTTTTTTTCTGCTCCAGGGAAGGCTGAAATCTTGATCATCCAAGAAAGCTTGGATTTCTTCTGCCACAACATGTCTAAGACCCTATTTTAAAAAGGGAATATTAGGTGTCATTGATATACTTGAGAATGAATCAATGAATTTTTTTGTTATGGTCACAGACCAAGAGTATATACTTATAGTACTCTGCCCTAAGCCTCTTGATAATCTCTCCCAGCAGTTTCATATGGATATTAAACAGCATGAGAGATAGAATGGCACCGTATGGTGTTGTTGTTCATTCGTTCAGTCGTCTCCGACTCTTCGTGACCTCATGGACCAGCCCACGCCAGAGCTCCCTGTCGGCCGTCACCACCCCCAGCTCCTTCAGGGTCAGTCCAGTCACTTCAAGGATGCCATCCATCCATCTTGCCCTTGGTCGGCCCCTCTTCCTTTTACCTTCCACTTTCCCCAGCATAATTGTCTTCTCTAGGCTTTCCTGTCTCCTCATGATGTGGCCAAAGTACTTCAACTTTGTCTCTAGTATCCTTCCCTCCAGTGAGCAGTCGGGCTTTATTTCCTGGAGTATGGACTGGTTGGATCTTCTGGCAGTCCAAAGCACTCTCAGAACTTTTCTCCAACACCACACTTCCAAAGTGCCGCTCTTCCTTCTCTGAGCCTTCCCTAAGGTCCAGCTCTCACATCAGTAGGTGACTACGGGGAATACCTTTGCTTTGACTATGCGGATCTTTGTTGCCAGTGTGATGTCTCTACTCTTTACTATTTTATCGAGATTGGACATTGCTCTCCTCCCAAGAAGTAAGCGTCTTCTGATTTCCTGGCCACAGTCTGCATCTGCAGTAATCTTTGCACCTAGAAATACAAAGTCTGTCACGGCCTCCACGGTTTCTCCCTCTATTTCCCAGGTATGCCATATAAAAGCGTACTTTCTGAGAAGCAGCTATTTTCAAGCACCATCATCTGTCTTGAGAGATAGGGCCAGAGCCACTGAAGCATAGTGCTCTCAATTACCAAATCCTTTAAGCATTCCAGAAGGTGCCATGATGAATGGTATTGAATGCTACTGAGAAGTTAAAAAGCAACAACATACACATGTTCCTTGTCTGTTTTCAGGTGAAGATCCACTACTAAGGCAACCACGGTGGTTGGAAGTTTAGTGTTTGAAGAAGGGTTAGGAGTTTTGAAGGGAAGGGAGGGATTTGGGAACTGTTTGTTATATGAAAGATACCTCTATAAGGATAATAGTTAAAGCCTCCGGGGAGAAGGAGAACTATAATATGCCTCTATAGTGCTTAGAGTGCTGTGGGTAGAAGGAAGATTCTGATTGTATTCCTGTGTGTGGAACTTTGTTTTATGTATGTTTAATATAACTCAAGTTATATTACTATTCTTTGTCCAAGTCAAGACTGTTAATCTATTGAAACCTCTATGCTTATTTACTCTTCAAGAACAAAATAAACAACATATTCCTGTTTTATTTCAACTGAAGACTTAGTGTGGCTTTTTAAACATTCTGGTGAAGGAGATGGCCTATGAAATAATAAATTGGTGGCAGCAAAAGAAATCTAAATAAATATTTGGTGGTAGCAGAGAAAAATATAAAATACAGCGGTGGCTTCCCACTGTCTAGCCTTCTGTGTGAGAGAGTGTGTGTGTGCTCCTGTCCCCTCACGGCCTTGCCTTGGTCCAGACCTCTGTTGTTTGTCCTTCCTTGATCTTTGTTGCACCATCCTTCAGAGAAACCACAAAGTACATTTCCATTCCAAAGTACATTTCCATTCCACAATCTCAGTTTGCATCTATTGCCTCTTTATTCCCAGTTTCATCCAACAAAATGGGAAATTATTTGAAGTGTGTGTGTGTGTGGGGGGGGGGGGGTTGCACTCAAAGAGGTTTCTCCATAATAGGAATGGACCCTACCTCCAACCTGTTTCACCTGTGTACTCCCATAATTATTCTCCGTTTGATGTAATGGAAGGTGTTACAGGCACAATTGCATCCATTCATTTCCATAGGAGGAATAAAGTCAAAAGTACATTAGAGAAGTTTAAAATATGCCCCTTCCCTTAGTAAACCCAGCAGCTCTGAGAGATTCATGACTTGACCTTTCTCAACTCATTTCTTAATTGCATTTTTTTTTTAAAATGTAACTGGGTGGGCACGATTGAGAATATGTGGCCCTTCTCCTTCCTCTACATCACTGATTCTCCAGATGTTTTGGACGTTGACTCTCAGAGATACCACACAGTTGACAAATGGAGACAGACACTTCATGGAAACAGAAATCTAAAACATCTGGAGAACCAAAGACTGATAATTTTTTAACCTGTTCTTTGTTTTAAAAATGCTAGAACGTGATGGATGTGACTCTATCTAGCTGAATAAATTTCAAAGGACTTGTTCATTTCATTTTTTTTTGTTGAAGTTCTGATGAAAAAATCCTTCTTTGAGAAGTTTGACATTTATGAAAAGAAAATGCATTTTTAAAAACTGGTGGTTATATATATATATATATATTCTTCCCATGCTGTTTTTGTTTTCTTTACACTGCAATTTGGAAATGGTCAGGAGTCAATGCAACACAATTGGAACTACAGCACAACAGAGCAGTAAAGAAAAATAAAATAAAAGCTCATTCTTTCTTCATTTGAAAAGTGTTATAAGCCTTTGTACAATTTTGGATGAAAACAATGTATTTCATATTTTGCCACTTCTGTCAAAACTTATTCTTCCGCCACTGTGGATTCAGAGTTCTCGGTTTAAATACAAGTGGTTCAATATAAAAAGGGTGGGGAGGGAACCAAGACTTCAATTTTTGACAAGGAGTCATTTGGGAGACGGCTTAGTTGTTGAAATCATTCCAAATTAAATCTTGCGAGCTGTATACAAACAAATAGCTTTTTAAGTGTTTTTCTCCTGGCATTACCTGTCTCCATGTCCCACACACTTCTTACCCCGAGGCATTAAACATTTATTCTACCATTGTTGCTGACTTTCCCACAGCTCCACAGCTGCCTGGCTGCCCTCACACCTGCCACTTCTTCCCCATCTGCTAGCATTCCCTCAAGTTGCCCTTAATAAATTCCATTATGAGTGCATTTGTACTGTCGGGTGGAAATGTAGAGGCAGAATATGTTACTTGAATATTGGTTGGAAATGAGAATGTGAAAAACACTCTGCTGGCAACCCTCTCTTTCAAGGCAGTTTAGCATTTCTGTGATCTTTAGGAAAGAGCCATATAACTCCCAGCATGACCTCAGCCTGTGTTGTGTGCCTCCAGAGTTATGGCTGCTTTGTCGTCCATGCCATGCTCTCCTTCTGCCCAGCCAAGGGCAGCTGTGGTGAAGTGGTTGCCCTAGAAATGGAAGTATGAAGGGTGAGCATAGGATGGACTCAGGCCAGCTGGAGCTTTCCAACATTCCCTGAGCCCATGGCCGCCACATGCATTTGGACCTTTTCCTCCCTTGATGTCTGCCTTCCACATTCCCTTTCCCTTGTCAAATTTTAAAAATATTTTTATTAACCACAAAAGAAATGTTATATACATAAAAAGAGGTGGAACGATATAGTGAAAGAAAAGTAGGAAATAAAGATGTATAAGTCTTAACAAAAACTACTTCATCGTTTTCTATAAGCCAGATTCTTTACAGTGATTCAACTTGCTCTCCTCTTATTTTTTCTATAAAAAAACCTAATAATTTTTATTTTTATTGAAATGCAATCCCTTGTCAAATTTCTGACACTGCAAAGAGAGAGCTCCTTGAGAAAAACTCAGTGGTACTGGATGTGTTACTAGCCCCCTTTCATCAAAGTCAAGCATCAGATATCTGCATATGCCAGAAAAAGGAGATTCAATCTGTACCATAAAAAAGGAATAGAGTTTCTAAAGACAGTGATAATGGCCATGGGAAATTGCAGCCAAAGATTTGTCTAGTTTTTCCCCATATTATATATTTAAAATATTGTTGTATAGCCCTCCATCACAAAACAGACTATCCAAACTGCCTCATAACTACCATCAAAAACAATCAAAATCCCTGTTTATTTCAAATCAGTATGTTCACTCCAGCCTTTCTCATCTATATTTTCTTTTCTCCGTTAATTTGGTCTCCCTTTTTTCCTTTAGACTCTGTGGTTTCTGTTGTTGGCAGCAACAATATTCTCTTTCTTTTATTACTTGCCGTACTTTCTCTGCTAACTATCCTCATGCCCTTTCTACACATTATTAATATATAAAATAAATTCATGCAGGTGGTCTGGTTAGGCTGCAAATGGACAGGCTGGCAAAACACTAATAGCTGTAGCACCACTCTGTTTGCAATCTCTGCAACTGAGAGAGATGCTAGACTGACCGAGGTTCCCTGACAAGAAGCATCAACAAATAAATAAAATCTCACAACTGCTTCTCCCAGGAGGTCCAACATATTTGTGCTGTAAGCATAAAAGTCAAATCTAGAAATAGTTCAAAGAGGCCTTTTATGAGAATTACACCAGTTCTTGAGATGGGTGGTCAAAACTAGCCCTTACGATTTTTAGATCTGTACCAGATCCGTGCTAGTCATTCCCGGCCAACATTGACCTCTCCCACCCTACCTTTGTGGTTTTATCACAGTTGAAACTGTAGTTTCTCTCTAGTTACAAAGATGACAGAGAACTAGAGACCACAGATTCATGTTTTATCTTCTACCATCATGTTTGTGTTCTCTAATGCACTTTAACAAGGGCTAACCAACTGACATTGCTGTGATGTATGATGTGAGGTTATTTAAATGCTAATGTCTTGCCTTGTTTTATTCCAGTAAAAAAATAATAAAACATATCAAATGTAGAATAAGATCTCACATTCTGTGGGGAGGGGGGTGAGGAGCAAGGAAATTGTAAAGTATTGCTTTTTCAACAAACATAGTGTTAGAATTGACAAACATCTTGTTGGCACCTGTTCCTCAGAATGGAAATTTACATCTGAACTGATTTCCAAAAGCCATTAGAAGAAGTGCAGCTATTTAAAACCTCAATTCTCATCCTGGAAGCAATGTGTGTCTGATTCTTATGGTTGCTAAGTGACTGTTGCTTCACAGCACATATCTGCAGGGTCCTGAAATTCATTTTTCATGCTGTACCTTATGAGCAAACTGGCCTGCTTCAATGCAAAGTTGTCAAGAGCTTCCTTTGACCATGGATCCATGCTTCAGGCCACTTATTGGTGCCTGTTCTCCCAGATTCTGTACTACCTGGAAATGTGAGGGGTTAGACCTGGGTCTTCCTCTGAACTGCCCTTCATCAGTAAATGTGGAGCTGTGATGCTTGACCTTCTATCATTCACTGTGGAAACCAGAGATGACAATGGAGACCTGTCTGGATACATTTAGACATGGCCCTCCTTCTGTATCTGGATATTAATACCATAGTAAAAGAGAGAGGGGCATCTTTTTTTTTGTTTCTTTTGAATTTTTATCATATGAAATAAAGAAAGTGGGAAAAGAAATCTAGAAATAGTGTTTTCTTTACATTGAAAGTGAGAGAACATTTGCTTGTATAGAAAGTAGGAAAAAGAGAAAAAAGAGGAGAGGAGAGGAAGAAAGAGAGAGAGAGAGAGAGAAGAAAGAGAAGAAGAAGAAAGGAAAAAAGGAACTATAAAACTGTAAAAAAAGAAAAAAATGTTGACTTCCTTCTTGCTTTTGATGGTCATTAAGTTTATTTGGAGTTAATATTATGTTACAATTGTTCTGCTTCCCCTCCGTCTTCTTCTTTTTCTTTAAGATTGAATGTCTTCAGCAAATGAGATTTATTTTCATCTTTTTTAAGTAGTCTTTTACAAGGTCCCAATTGGTTTCTTTCTTAGGTAAGCCTTGGTTAGATGAAAGCCAATAGGTAAGTCTGTCCATGTTCATAATCTCTAACACTTTGTTCAACCAGTCTTCTTTTTTCGGTATTTCTTTTTGTCTCCAGTTCCTGGCGCACACTATTCTAGCTGCAGTGACCAAAAAATTAAACAAAATCTCTTTATTCTTGTCCTTTTCTATATCTAGCATGCCTAATAAAAAGTATTCAGGCTCTCTTTGAATTTTTAATTTTAGAATCTTTTGTATGGCTTGATTTATATCTTTCCAAAACTGTTGCTCTTTTGGGCAGGTCCACCAGGTGTGAAAAAGGTTCCCATCTGTTGTTCACATTTCCAACATTTGTTGGATGCATTTTTATAAGAGAAGGGCATCTTTTTAAGGGGGTTACAATGTTGCAGGATTTGTTGCTTAAAGAAAATGAATATTCAGAAGTTATCTGTAAAGAGGAAAAATTCAATGCTTCACTAGGGCTGGTGTCCCTCAGTGCAGTAACTCTTGCTATCACTCTCATGGATCTTCTCCCATGCCATGCCATGCCATAGAAGAGTATTCTTGCCAAAATACCCAAACATTTGCTATTTCAGATAGAATATTTTAAATTGGCAATTTTTTTTCAAAATACAGCAGTAATAAAAAGCAC